GCGAGACATCTGGAACATGGACGAAACTGGGCTCCTGTATCACTCGGCAAAGACGAAGGGCATATGCATGAAGAGCACTCCTGGTCTAAAGAAAGACAAACCGAGAATAACGGTGGCGTTGGCGGCTAACGCTGACGGATCTGAGAAGCGTCCAGTTTTTTACATCGGAACAGCTCTACGCCCTCACTGCTACAAGGGAAAGTATGCACAGATGCACTCATCCTCAAGATAAATACCAGCATTCGCCTTCTTGGTCTTTGGAACAGCTCGAATAGTGAGATTGGGTAGCACCTTCTTGGCGTCTTCATAGATGTAGTTGTTGTCCAACAGTTTAGCAATGTTCCGCACGCTTGGAACTGGTGCCAGCGTCTCTTGTACCAACTTGGAAGCCTTCTTCTTGCTATTCTCGATCCTCTGCTTCTTTTCTGCTTTTTCTTGCTTCTTTCTGACTTGGGGACGTCCCCGACCTTTTGCGCTCTTTGTTATCACAAATGACCCAGACTGCGAGGATTCTGACGAACTGCTGCTAATGTGCTGGCGCTTGGACTGGCTTGGATTTTGTTTGAAATCAGACATACTTGCTGCATCCACCTCTGGGGTGGTTAAAGTCACACAGGAATTGCCTCTAGTTACACACAGTGGTTCTTGTGTAGCAGGAGGGGTCAAAGTCACGTGGGAAGTACCTCTAGTCACACACGGTGTAACGGTAGGCTCTTGCATTGTAGCTGTAGCACATTGCATTGTAGCTAGAGGTGCGCTCTGTTGAGTCGGAGGTTCGTCATCGTCCGAGTTCGCTGTGGAAGTGTTCTTGATTTTTTCTTCATCTTCCGTATCGCTTTTCATCACAGCATCCTTTGGTTCAACAACATTGGTATTTAACGTAGGCGAAAATGTCAGCGACGATAGCTGTGAAAGCGGGTCTACCCATTCACCTCCGAACGTGCGTACAGCGCCCATCGTTCTTTCATCGAATCCCAGTTCTTCATGAAGTACTTCAAAAATGGATGCGTAGGCACAGGTACAGGGTCTTCACGTTTAAGACGAACACCTTCCAGCAAGAAGTATAGATACTTCAGATACTTAACGTAATCATCCGTAGAAACCGCCAGCCGCATCATATCGATAGCATCTTCAACTTGGTCTTTGTCGAAGCTGGACGGGCCTCCATACTCGCTCTCTGCCAGCTCGGTCCGAATATACTTCTTCAAATCGAAGTGACACAGAATCACTTTCACGCCAGGGAACTCCATTTCTAGTAATCCCAATTCACCCATGTCCTTGTCAATCACAATTACCCTGACTTGCTCCCACGAAGAGTTGTTAAACTTGAACGACCCGATAGCATCTGAAAGACACTCTGCACTTTCGTTCTCCATGAGACTGTGGTGTACGTATTGACCCTAGCATTACGTTAACAACTCATAAGTAAGAATTTGTACATATCAAGTACATGTTGTAGCTGAAGCTACGCAAACAGTAAAAGTGTAACTAGAGGCACATAGGATGTAACGTCAGGTACATTTACTTACATGTCTGTACACATCGTTAACCATGAACGAGAAGAGCTTGTAGCGCGATTCGTTGGTGTTATGCGTCACGTCAATGAGCATCACTTCAGGAAAAGCCTTGAACCAGCGTCGCATTTGTCTCGTCTGCAACGCGATGGTCTGTGCAGTTTTGGATTCGTCGACGTAAACCGTTGCTCGGTTTCCACGACATTCGCAAATCCCTCGCAAGACAGTCTCCAGCCGTTCTTCAGTAGTCGCACCTCCCCTTCGTCTCTCCTTCATCCTCGCCACCATGTTGTGTACATCTCGAAGCACCACATTTTTTCCTACATGGAGTTTAAAACAAGAAAGCTATCAGTCACTATATATAATTCTGGGTTGAGTTAAGCGCACCCACCTGTCTTCTTTCGCAGGAACTGCATAATTAGCTTCGGCTTAGAACCAGCAGCTTGGAGTTCATCCACGAATACCAGTATGTCCGGATCCTCCACGCGACGGCTCGACACATGGTTCTCAAATGTAGCGCGGGACACATTGTGGTTGTGTCTGACGTCAAAGTCAGTGACGCGTACCATGAACGTGTCGTGTTCATCGTTCCACACGACAGCAGTCTTAATGTTTGCCTTACAGCCTGTAGTCTTCTCAAAAAACGACCTTCATATCCCCTTTCCACGGCTCTTGCGCTTTCACCCGTGAGTGCAGACCAACTTAATCCAGAAATTTTCGAACTCCTCAGGGATCAATCGATCCGACGTCTCATCAGTAGCTGTGTTAGTCGTGCCGGAATCATCTGGGTCCTTCGCATTAACACTTAGGTTTGCTCGCGCCTTAATTTCTCGATTTCTCTTTTGAACCGACGTGGACGTGCGCTGTGGAAAGACCTGGTGTGTCTCCTCTTGGTAGCGCTCCATGTATTTGCGGAAGGCATCCCAGCTCTCATGCCACTCGACATCAACTGGGGGACAGAGCCACGAGACCCCAGGAGGGACTTGCCGCTCGGGCTCACTGTCGCTCATTCTGATTGCACACATGAGAACCACAGAATACGCTCTTAGCTTACCTCCCCCCCTCTAATCTACATGAACATGCATGCTTTACCTTCAGAGCTGTCGTGTGTCTTCGTCTCGTATTGGAGTTTAGGAGGGGCGCGTGGCTGATGTAGCGCGCGGGAATTTTATGGAATGAAAGGCTCATAGATTTTGGGGATGGGAGAAAGGGGGGAGAGGGGGTGTCTTTTTCAGAAATCTTGTTTTTCAGAACTGAGTTGAAATTTACCTCGGACTGTATTTTATCGTCAAAATTACGAAGGTACTACTGTAATGTTTCGTGTAAGTACTATTTTACTCGGTGCCGCTAACCAGTTCCAAAAGTTATTTGGCTCCGCTCGGTTCGCAGAGGTAAGCTGGCAAGAAACGTACTTAAGTGGGAGAATATCATAAAATATCACGTACTACGTACTACTGTAGTAGTATATAATATTTTCAGTTCTTCGAGTAAATATGAAAATATTATGTTTACTTTTGCAAAAATGAGTTCCTATTAATATTTAATATCGAAAATAATATTATTACTATCAAAAATATCATATGATATTTGGTTACCATTAGCCCCTGATCGATACGCTCTCTCTCTTTCTCTCTCTGTAAAAAATAGTTCTAATCCATTACGTTCGACCCTATGTCTCCGTGGGTTTGGGCGGTCTCATTTGATCATTACAGGAGAAAGCCAAGACCGCAGTATTGAATGAAGAGCCTCTTCAAGAGGGGACGAGTCATCTAGCTCTCTTCAAGAGGGGACGAGTCATCTAGCGTGACTAATACTACTAGTATAAGCTAACTGCGATTTCGATGAGGACTCGTAATACTGGAGTAGCGGTTAGCATGAGATACTGTATTTAGTATCTACTGTAGGAGCAGTATTCAATAAATTGTGTCATATGAAATAGCGTGACTAATACATGTACAAGCTAACTGCGATGAGGATTATTACTGTATTAGTACTGTACATTACCTGGTACATGTAGGTATAATATCCGCGCTACCGGCTGCGGCACTCCCTATACATGTATTCCGTTTTCTTCACTACCCGCCGGTTAGTACCCGGAGCCCTTTTATAAAAAGCGTGACTAAACATAACGCTTTTCCACTAAATGTAACCCTGGCGTTCTCCCTCACAACGCAAACAACTCGGAAAGTCAACGAGACAACTGCGAGCTTTCAAAGCCTTGGTGGCAAGTCCAGAGATCGAAATCCTGTTAAGATCAGTGCAATGACTGTCAAGTTTCCTAAACGAAATGGCAAACCCGAAAAGAATAAGGCACAAATGCTAGCCAAGTCCCGAACCTACCGCATCGATGTGAAAGCTCTTCGTGGGGATCTACGGCGTCAAGAGAAGGAATTATGTGAAGAACTGCTGCGCCTGGAGGAGATACGTAAAGAGCATAAAGCAAAAGAAAACGCCGGCTGGTATACCGGGCAATCTCTTTGGAGAGAGCTTGCTACTCGGCAACGAGTTGAACGTGATACGGCTGAAAGTCAACAGAAGAAGTTACGCTTCTTGATAAGCAACCAAGCCACGTACATCGACATTTTGCGCGACGTCCTAACAAAACGCTGCACGGACCCAATTGTTGTCCTTGGCCACCAGGAAACAGCCTCACCGTTCGCCAGATACCTTCACGAGTTGAACACAAGGTACTACCTATACACGGACGAAGTATTCAAGGCTACAGACTTGTCCCATTCTCATGATATTGACCAGACGGTAGAGCTCGACGGTGGAGTGAAATTCTTCTACCCGCGATCCACACTAGTTCTGCCGTCGTCCGTGTCTGAAACCAGCAACACGTTGTGGAAGCTTGGTGAGCATCTTTTCAGCGACAAGCAAAGCTACGTGCAGCACCACAACGTCGAGGACTCGAGTAATACGTTCGTCGTGAGCTTCACCGACACAAATGTGTTGGAAACTGGGGATACGGTGCAGATATCCCACTGGTACGTAGCTAGACGGTTCATCCAAGACAAACGCGTTGTGATCGGCTGGAAACATATTTTCCAAGGGGAAGGCATTTTGTGCGGCTTAAAAGAGGACGAGACAGGCTGGTGCCGATTCTACTCTTCGGCCGACGTGATGGAGCCTGGGACAGTGATGGAGATGCGTATTCATCGCGTGGTAGTGCATAGCACAGATCCGGCACCTCAAGAATCGATCTTACGCGCATTCCATAACTTCCTGATAACAGAAACTCGAGAGGTCCTGGTCAACGTTGTTGCGACCCTGGAAAATATGCTGCTGGAAAATGCATTAGCGGACATCTGCTAATACCGTTAGCTGACAAGCTCTTTAGCCATTTTGTTGCAGTTTAATCACATAATGATCATTAATAACGAGCGATGAATCACTAGAAACAAGTGATACGACAGCTTTGTGGGATACTACAGGCTTTCACAATAGGTAGTGACGTTTATCGAAGCTTACTATGTTGTTTTCTAAGTAAGACTGCCACATAAAGCTCCCTCATCGCTAATATCAAGCCTAATGACTTTGCGTCTGTTGATTTTTTTATTTTTGAGGTTGGTAGTAAAAGCAAGTGTAAAAATGCTATTATAGGACATTTACGAGAATAGGGAAAAGGCCTCCTCTGTTCATTTCTCTGGCAAGAACGAAGCGATCATGACCTGAACCATGAGTCATTCTTCTTGTTTTTGTTGTAGTACTCTGTATAGCGGCTAAAAGTGCCGAAGTTCGGGCTCTTCGAAACAGTTATCGTATCCATCGAATTTGTAAAGAACTTGAGGTAAATATCTTGCGGGGTCTTCCCCTTCTTGTACCAAATGTAGAATGTCAAATTCTCCTTGGCACGACGCATCGAGATCTCGTACCATTGACGTTCCTCGCTGGTAGCTGATAATTCGGCGGTGTTTTCGAATGCCCTTTGAGGTCTCGGGTCAGTTTTTCTGAGAAATGGCGAATAGGTAGTGTGGTCAGGCTGGATCGTTTGGAGCTCGATGTGTGCAGCCAAAATGTTGTCATTGCCGATGAAGAGTGTAATAACTACAAGTAGAGCGGTGTAGATACCTCCCATGTGTGTTAATATCTTCAATGTCGGAGTAGGTTTTTTCCTTTGGGAAGAAATTGCAAAATACTTAAAAATGATTCTTTAGTAAGTGCTGTCAATCGAAGGGCTCACCGTGACTAAACATAACTGCATCTTCAACATCAAGTGTAACGGGAACACGATTCGTAACGGGAACGCGATTTGTAACGGGAACGGTTTTTGAAACGGGAACGGTTTTTCAACCGGTATTATACTGGTACCTACTGACTATCTCCTCTGCCTATCCCAAACGTGTACTTTTTGTGCGAGGGGAGGGCCCTCGTTAGTTTCTCCCGCTTACAAGCCTACAATCAGCGTGACTAATCTTTTCTTGATGAGTCACGACCTGGGGAATTACGTGAGTAACGTACACATGTTCTGCAGAATCGAACCGAGCTTGCAAACGCAAATGCTTTTAATTTAATATACGGTGCTTGTTCCGGGGATTAATGGACGGGTACGCGCTACCAATTACTGGTTTTTGTCGGCCGAGTCGTTGGGCCTTTGAAGTGTTTCTTCCTTTATCTCGCGCGCCTGTTGTGCAGAGCACAAATGTGTATGGAAAAGGATCTAATTTTAATTATCAAAAATTAAGCGTAAAATATGCCAAAACAGACTGCAAAATGTCGGGCTGTATGTAGTATTAATGCTTTTTTGGATTGCACCATTAAGAACATTTTCAAAAGCCAGGATGGTGGATCGCATTCTTTTAATTACTTCGAAGTAAGATTTTGCATTCTGCATTCTATGACTACAAAGCAATTAAATGTTCCGCTTCTGAAAATCAGACTTTTTAATCCTGAGTTGTTTTGGGCGGCGCTCAGTGCAATATTTCGTACATCCGAGATGAGGTGATTAGTCACACATGTATTACTGCTGCAGTGTGTCCGAACATTTTCTCAGACAATTACGTCTGCTATTAATAAGATTTTTGCTCATGAATCCACAGGACAAATCCCGAGACACCTTGGCGAAAGTGGACAAGTCAAGTGAAACGGAATGGGATCTTGTTCATCAGACTTTGTGTCGTCTAGACGAAAAGGCACAACGTTTGTGGGCGTACACTTGACGGTCAAGGCCTGATTCCGGTTAACTAAGTTCATTCTCCAATTCACCGTCCTCGGCAACATCCAAGCGACTGCGTCCAGAAGTACTATGCAGCTTTCCATCGTCTTGGTGATCGTCATGGCTGGTATACTCAAACATACCTCGGCAGTATCGAATGGTACTTCATATCACCCGATCAACGGATGGTACCCGTGCCACGAGTACACGTTTTCGGAAGCTGGTAGCTCCAGTGAAGATGCCGAGTGTGCTGTTTACACTGCCCCCTTGTGCTACCCTGGAATCTGCGAGCCATCCGAGTTTGCGGAACCTTCCGTTGACATTTTCGTGAAGCGGCTTCCAGCTTCGGCTGGTGACCCCAAGACAGCTCGCAATGTTTGGCTTGTTCAGGGCGGTCCCGGTGTTTCGTCAACTACGCGTAAGTAACACAATTATTACATGTGCTGGGATAACATTTTTCCAAGTATTGACGCTGTAATCGATGTGCTTGTAGTGGAGATACCAATGGAGGATCTCCATTCGAGGCTTGAAGGCAAGTTCAACGTTTACACGATGGACCACCGCGGCACAGGACGCAGTACTCTTCTTGACTGTGTAGCAGCACAAAGTACGACGACTGGGTCGACATTGGGTCGTGACGTCGCCCCGTCCGAAGTCCCAGCGTGTGCGAAAGATCTGAGGGTGAAGTATGGGAACCTCGCATCGTTCTCTACGACAAGCGCTGCTACGGATCTATCGACGTTTATCTCCAAGTTTTCAAATGGCGCAAGCTCCATCATCTATGGGCTGAGCTACGGAACCGTTGTGGTGGAACGTCTGATGCACTTGAGCCCACCCAATGTGGTTGGATACGTTCTGGACGGCATTGCAACTAGCTCCGGGGCATCTGGCAACAAATTCAGCTACTTCTCATCGTGGGACGTTGACGCTAACGAAGTGGCCAACCATTTCTTCGATTTATGTGCTCAAGACAGCGCGTGCAGTGCACATTTCCAGTCCACCGATTTGTCTACGATGCTGCAAAATGTGCTTACGAAAATTGACAACGACCCCAACTCAACTTGCGCTACTCTTGTGAGCAATTTTACTGATGCAACTTCACCAGGGCGGGGGCTTCGAAAGACTCTTGGTGAACAAGTGAAAGGCAAATGGACGCGTGTGCTCGTCCCAGCAGTGGTGTACCGACTTAACCGATGCGATTCCAACGATGTGGCTGTGCTGAACCATTTCTTTTCGGCGCAAAGCGAATCCGGTACTAGCCAAGACGATGCCTTCGAATCGACGCTGCTGTATTATCTGATTGTCTTCTCCGAAATGTGGGAGACGCCATCTCCTAGCATCGCTGAGCTGGAATCGCGCTTTTTGAATGCGGGTATTGCTGATGGCTCTTACGAACTTGGCCCGCTGTATTGTGCTTTCTCGAAAGAAGAGTCTCCGGCATGCGACGCGTTAAAGTTTGGTAACTACGAAGGAGAAGGCATCGTTTACCAGCGTGATCAGTACTGGAACAAGAGTGCTACGGTGCCCGCTCAAGCCAGCGTGTTGCTCTTGAGCAGCAAATTGGACTCGCAGACACCTCACAAGTACGCCGAGTATCTCTTGGATGCCCTTGATGCCCCGCAAAAGGAGCTGGTTACGTTTGACGACGCGACCCACGTCATAACTCAATCGACCTATTTCCGTGGTGTCAATGACACCATGCGCAGCTGCGGAATGGAAATATTCGCTTCATATGTGAGCAATGACGGCGACCTACAGCAGTTGGACCGGTCGTGCATTAAGGAAATGCCGGCCCTAAACATGACGATGCCAATCGGACTCCTAGAAAGCTACTTCAGCACTGATGACGCGTATGACGGTGTCTACAATGCTACCTTGACTCAAATCGAAGAATCCGAATAAAGAAGACGAAGAAACTTTGATCGGGTTGCGACGGAATAAGCCCGCGACAAGTTAACTCAGCGACAACTACCAGGAAACGTACATGTAGTTGCGATCGAAACTTTTTTTTACTCTGAATTCTACTACTTGTAGTACACACTTTTCTTACTGCTTCAATCTCTTTAGAGATACAAGTATGTTTTTTCACAATTTCGAAACTTACATTACAATAATATTTTCATTGTTCTTGACAATATCAAAATTGAAAATCGTTTAAAAAGATTAAACATTTTAATCAGTGAAGCTGTTTTTGTTAATGAAATTTAGCATTTTCTCTCCATTAGTGAATGTGACACTCAACATCGCGTAGGGAGTCGGGTTGTTGGCAGACTGCTTGCACTCCTAGATCTTCAAGAAGGCGAGCCATTCTAGCCCAAAACAACTGTGAATTATGGTACTTGAAGAATATCATTGCAAACCCGAAAATACACAAATCTCAAGGCTTATATAAACTTATGCAGGCTTCGATATTACTGTGACATACGATCGACATCGCAGACTCGAACCCAAAATCAGGTTTCCCTTCCCGAAATTGATTGCACATGATTTCTGTTCGTATACGAGTTTGGGTCATTACTTCAGTCAAGTGAGTCGTACCTTGATATCTCATACGCGGCTTGGGCAGCCAAGTTCAACATCTTCGGTAAATTACGGCTGATTTTAGTTATACATTATAGTGATTGTCTTCTGAAACATCATGCTCGGTTCAAATTTCTTTAATTAATCAAAAATAGCATGTCTGGATTTTCACAACACTAGCAGGAAAATGTGTCCATCGGAAACGGGAAGAACGCTGCAAGGGCCTATTATAGAAGAGTCATCCGAATTTTGTAAATAGGTGAGAGACAAAAGACAGCCAGAGCGTAAACATGGTGTCCAAGGCCAATGTAGGATTAAAGACTCCATACGGGGTTTTTAGCAGCGATCAACGAGCGGGAGGCGCACTAAACGAGCGCAAGTTTAGTGTAGAAAGCATACGACGCAACCGCAGACACGGCGACAACGTGCACGGTGTGTTGACCATGCTCGGACCTCGATAACATGTCGTCACATTAAAACGGCCTTCAGAGACCATTTTTTTGTTTTTCTAGCCTTACTTTAGAGTGTTGAACGCCAAAGGATTTGAGAATTGTTTTTGACGGCACACAATTCTCATCAACCAAAGGTGATAAGGGATCTTCATGTAGTCCACACGCTCAGCGCTTCTATGGTATGCGCAGCTCCTAGTTAAGGCTGTTTTCACCAACGTTCACATCGTTTAAATGGCCTCGAATTCTATGCTCAAGTATATTCAGCGGATAGCTTCAGCAGCTATGAATCGTATGCAGTTTTGGCTCCGGGACGTTGTCCTTCGCCGCAGACAGACTCATCGTTTGGGCGAAGCACAGCTGTCCTGGGTCATAGCACGATGGTGACACTAATCTCGACTTCAGGAAAAAGTCCTCGACTCAGATCTTAATCCCGATAACAGGTACGGCGTTGTAGCCGACAGTGCGTTTCCATGCGGCGACCCTGGTGCTAACGCCTCTTAAGGGCGGGGACCTGAACCGATTGGTGCTATCAGTGCGTTTGGCAGCGAGCTCTATGTCAGCACCGATAACCTTGATACGTCAATCGACGGAGTGGGGAATGAGATTATTCTAAAAGGTCTTCCTAAGTCTCTTGCAGTCTCTTTCCTACAGCATTATTAAAGGAGACAACGGCTTGACAGCGTGTACAGAATGTCTTACCACTGTGTTAGGACTGAAGAAATTAGCGAGATCAGATCTACACATCTCCAGGGACGCGAAGACAAGCAACATCAGTGAAATACGCCTACGCTATCGAATCTATGCAATATGACCTCCCTTTTCGCGGTCGACTCAGCATCCGTCTCCCTTCTCATTCTTAGAACTTTATCGTAGACTTTACATCAGAAGCAGCATCTCATCATGTCTTTGCCGCGCTTCCATTCGGTCTAGAGCTAGTCTTTTAGCATGTCAAATGTGGCTGTCGACAGCATCGTCGGCTTCTCTTCGAATCTGCTGGTCTCGTAGCTTTTGAGTAGCAGCGGCGTCAGCACGCTGGAGCTGCTCTCGCTCCTCCCACTCGGATATCTCGGCAGCCAAGCGCTCTCTTTGTCTTCGCGGCGTCGACGGTCTCCAGCCTCGGCATTTTGCTTAGCCCCCTCTCGTAGAACAATGAGTTGTCTCAGAGTTTCGTCTCCAACTGGGTAGGTTTTGATCTCCATATCATCGATCGCTTTGTGCATTTTCGTCGACACACTTTCTAGCGCGAGTGCACTTGTGGCTAGCGTATGTGCTTGTTGTATCACCCGAACAGTCCGGGGATGTGCGCTTCATTCTGCTTCGTGAAAGTCTAGCGCCCAACTCGTCTATGCTGTTGCGTAAAAACTCGAATACATCCTCCCCCAACTCGCCTATTCGCAACGAAGCAGAAGTCCGACTACGAGATGCAAGAGAAGCAGCTCAGAGCGTCACACTGACGTTTTGCCGACTGATACAGCTATTACTCCCTTGTCCTGACTGATCTAAGCTTTATCAATTGGTATTTTACCATCACGGTATGTTCTAGAAGATATGCTCGTATTTAAAGTGCGCACCAAGGTCCCTCTACCCAACCAAGCTTCGGTGACCAAGCTCCGCAAGAAGGTATCAGTTTGATTGCTGCAGGTTTCTTGAAATGCTACGGTTTTGCGGTGCAGACCTCTTATGTCGTAAGCGTTTCCGCGCGAAGCAGACATTGAGGACCGACAGGAGTAGATGGAGATCGCTTGTCTGGCAAGTATGAGCTCTGAAGATGTGAAAGAGGCTATGGCCCTGATCCCAGTCTGCACACGACTGGAGCACGTATTTCAGGGAGTGGGCATGGTCGACCAGCAAATGGTCCCTAGTACTTGCAAGAACACCAAAGCGATGTTAAAAGTGCTCAGAAACCAACGTTCTCGACAGTATACGTATTATACGTCAAGCAGCACGGTCTGACACTGGGTCTTGTGGGTCAGTGACCTACAACAAGCCGCAGCGTCTTGCTAAAATAAAAGTGGTAGATGAGTTTGCATTTCCTCGAGGCTCAGGCGGTGCCTCTGTTCGAAGCCTTAGCCGCTGACTGTGACAAGGCTCACGTAGATAAAGAACGAACGGTGCAGCTGATACAATCCTGGGTTTCGTGTCTCTTACGACGGTTAGCATGTGCGGCGAGGCTACACGGCGTCATTCAAAACGCTATTCAACCTGTAACGGGTAATTGCCAAGAGCGGGCTGCCCGTTATGGTAGGATGGTCGACGTGACGCTGTACGGTACAGCCTGCACCGCACCGCTGTCCATCTAGAGAAGGCCTGACGGATATTCAAGAGCCAGCAGAACCGGCAGCTCAAGAACATCGCAAAGTATCGTCAGATCTCGATAGTACCGAGAGCTCCCTTTCTCCAGCATGCGTCCTGCATACGGCGGTGCAGATTGCTCGAGCACAACGGTCGTGCCTGGAGAAGAAGATGATATCAATAGCAGTACGACACGGCTTCAAAGGTCATACCAGAGCCCAGAGACGGCATATAAGCCAGCAAACATTTTTAGTATTACGGTGAGGAACATTATTATAAATATTAACAGTAATATACGCCGGTACTAAGCTTTTTACTACCCCTGTTCCTGTATGAGGCTGCATAATTTTGCTGTTCATCTGTTTACGACAGAAAGTTTACTCGATGGCGCCTCCGATAAGCGTTTAGTATACTTAAAAAAACTAAAATCTAATGTATGCATGTCGGATACATGTCAAAGGTTTATGACCAAATCACGTGCATAAACCATTTGATCCAGTCGCACTTATCCGATATCAATACAAACTAGCAAATAAAGACTTGACGGAGGATCCGACATGTTCTTGCTTTGGGCCTTGCTTTCCTATATAGGTAAATCTATACTTTCGGACGAAAATTTAGCTAATCTAAGAGAAACGCATCTTACGCTTCCTCATACACGTGGGCTAACGTGTAAGCCGAAGTAGTGGGCACAGAATAAGCCCATTACAATCGTAATATGGTCGGATCAAATAATCTATTAAACCGTTTGATAACCAGCTAAATAAGACTCGTTTCTAGCAACATCATTAGACTTAATATTAATTTGTGTAAGAGAGCTCAAACAAAATTCATAATGGAAGAAATTTTTTTAAACTGAAGTTCAAGGACCATCGCGCGCGAAGCCGAGGCCGATGCGCTTGAGGGGCTTCCTTTTTGAACCGACCTCACACTACGAGGAAAGTTATCACCTTGTCTTGAGACGGTGAGTCTTCTCCGAATTGAGCCTCCGAATGAAACCACAGTACTCTAATTCCATTTAGTTTCTTACGACGTTCGATGTATGACCATGTCTACACCGCAGACTACGATCTCATCTCAAAGCCGTCGTCCTTCCTGAACGGCTCCAAGGTATGACTCCCTTGCTTCTTTGTCATCCTAAATCCTCTAACTGCGCACGATTGCCTGTACGCAAGGAGAAAGAGGGAGAGGCGAGAGCTAAACAGGAAGAAAACGAAACCGTGAGCAGTCGTCGCTTCGAGCAACGACTGAAGCTGGACCGCGACGAGGCACACCAGAGACGCGAAGAAATGATGGTGGTGATGCTGGAGGCAGTATTACCAACGAATTAAACCTTGAATATTGAGTCCGAATACAAATATTGCGAGTATTGCTCGTCATTTACTAAATTGTTGTAGTATCGATCTTCGATCCTATTGATAAATGCTGTGTGAAATTCGCTAATTCCTTCAGCTCTACCGCGGTAGTTTGCTAGTCTAAAGAGAGTGTCGAGCCTCAGTTGGCGCCTGTCCTTGCCACAAGGCAGGCGCATGAACAGTCCGTGGAACACCTTTTTCACGGAGCTCATGCATCACGCTGCCGATTAACGAATTGAAGTAATACCTGCCGATAAGACCTTTACAGCAGGTCTCACCGAGGGAACCAACCGATTCGTATCTTCCTCTTTAAGAGAAGTCAAAATCCTGCCTGTCATTTCTTCACCGCAAGGAAACGTGGTGTCGGCTACGACGCCGTAGTTGCTATCCGGATTTAGCATCGGGTCCATCAGCTTTCGGCGGAGGTCCAGACTCATATCACCGTCATTCCAGCTACTGGGGCAATTGTGTTTACCCCACCGTCAGAGGACAAACAAAGTGCTCCTGTTACAAAAACCGCGTGGGGCAACCATTATAATGTGCATTTTCCACATCGCCCACAGAAGGTTGCTGAACCGACAGCAATAAAATAGATAACACAGAGCAAATATCAGCACGGATAAAAAATAAAGCAGAACTGTATACTAAAATATTGCCGACACGATAGTTTTCCGTCGAGAAACTCCCAGAAAAAAAACATCGGCTGCCTCGCGGCGACGAGGCGTGCGAGAGCTCTTTGCCTTTCCAGCGTAAGCCAAGCAACTCGTGCAGGAGGGAAGTCCCGCAGTGCTTCAGCTATAGCACTCTCTGCAGCGTTGAGAACGCGTGAAAGCGTAAAAGATGGGGATCTAAACTGCTGGCACAATTGAAAATTGTGCATGGAGCCCCCGTAAAATGCCAGAAGCAAGGCGGCGAAATGGTGGTGGTGCCGGAGCTTCCACGGCCGGCCTCCTGTTAAACTGAAGCTAGGTATATAGTAATAAGAGGAATAAATATATTCAGAAGTCGGCAGAACGAGGCTCTATAAGTAGCGTATTAAGCTACTGTCATATTAAGCCAGCTCAACCTGCAAGTAGAGTCGTCCAAATTAATACGTACTTTATTAAGCTTGTTAGATTCTTGTCGGATCCATTCCTCCATGTAGCCATCCGCACAGAGTCCTCTGGATCTTGCAGACAATGCAGGCTCACATAGTGTCGCAGACGCACTCCTCGGTTCAATCCCAGCGCTTACGCTCAGCACGGATCCGACGGCGCAACTCCCAGAGAGTATTGTGCCTTTCCAAAGTTTTGGCCAATCTGACCTTTAAAGGCTGGTCCTACGCAAGGGTGGGTAGGGCTACAGAGGACGAACTAGAGTTGAATTGCTAAGCCAGGCCACTAAATAAAATGACATTTGACCAATAACACTGTTTGGTTTTGCCGACTATGATCCAATTATACTTGATTGTGGAGGTCCTACGTAAGGGCTCCGATTTGGTCTGAAGGGTACCTTTTGACAAATTAAGGGCTGAATGGCCAGTATTTGCCGGCTATTTACCCTTACGTAAGGTACCCACAACAGATTGACTTTAAATCAAATATCATCAGACGTACGCTGGCGAGGCATTGTCTTGCCGTATGTCTACAACATTGAGATCAGCGTAGTTGCCGGTGTACTGGGCGTCTTGGCCAGAAGCCTTCGGAGATGGTACCATCTCTTCAAGACAACAGGAAATGTCGCCGACACCCCAAAGAATGAGCGGTCATCTAAATGGTCGATTGAAGTGCAAAAGTTTGTTCGCGAGTATGTAAAGCAACACCCCTGCTTCTACTTTCAAGAGCTGCGTGAGGTATTAAAAGAGAAGTTTTCAACCCAATATTGCTGTTCCGATTCGACAATTTGTCGTGCTATACGGCTCGATTTGGAGTTAGCGCGAAAAGTGCTGACAACGAGCTCGTGAAAGTATCCCCAAAGAACGCCAAGCGTATGTGAACAGGCTATTGCCTATCTAAAGCGGGCCAGATCAAATCGTGTTTTTCGATGAAACTTCAAAGGATGGAAGGTATTGTACAATATCAATTTTGTGCCTGCTACATCTTACCTGGTTAATTTGTTGTATGGTATTGCTATGGTTTAGGTCCTCCCTGAGAAAACACGCGTGGGCCGCGCGCGAAGGCCCAGTGGCTATGCTCATTCTCTTTTCCCGACGGAAAGCGAATCTCCGTTCTTGCTGCGTTCGAAGTTGAAGGCTTTTTTTTGCGTGGGGTACAGCCCAGGATACTTTCACCCGGCAGACGTTCCACGAGACTTTCACGTTAAAAATTCTACCATTCCTCAATCCGTGGCCTTTACCAAGATCAATTCTCATTTTGGACAACGCCAAAATTCACATGTACGAAGAATTCCAAGAGCTTATTCACGGTACTGGTGCACTGTTATTTTTTCTGCCGCCGTATTCACCTGACATGAATCCAATAGAAGTCGGATTTTCTCTTCTAAAACGATGGATTCAACGCCACGCAAACATGGCGTTCGGTGAAAATCCTCTTGCGGTCCTCAATGTCGCGCTGTATTCTTGCACAAGACAGTCTGAGGAAGTCGGGCAAAACTCGTACGGCCACTGTGGGTACGATGAGAGCAAACTCAGTATAAAATTAGTGAGCTTTAATGAAATTCATGTATTCGTATTGAAAACATCGTACTCTACATCTACTGCGCTCCTTTAAGTTGATCGCTAAGGTGATAGACATCATCCATGTCTTCTGCAGGAGCGGGAGTTTTAAAATCTACCGGGTCACGGAACGGAGGGCGAAGGTTGTAGGCCGGTAAACCGAGAATTTCCTGGAGATCTCCAACATGAACTTGCACTTGGATCACTGCGCCTTAAATCTAGATCCTGAGCATTCTATAAATTTATGTTAGTGGTTTCTTGAGCTGTATCTTGATTCGTCTCCATTTCCTGCGAAAGCTGGTCAATATTCCGAAGTTGCCGAAATGTTGTGCTATCAGGAACTTGTAATGAAGCGTCAGCTGGAAGTCGAGCTTGCATTGTTGCCATGTACAGCTGTGGGGCTGGCCCACTCGAAATATTGATCTCAGCTAGCATAGCCGCTCTACGAGGAACTTGTTTTTGGATTCGATTCTCGGTAGCTCTACGAATAGTGCTGGCTCTTGGATCTAGTGCTCTTGGAACATAAACAAAGCTCATTAAAACAAAATCGGACTGACCGTGTAGGCGAAGGCTAGCTAATTCCCAAGATCTGGCGACGCGGCTGGAGAAATTTTCCTTCTCCAACTCGAGAAATTCACGTTGTGGAGCGTGCTTAGTGGACTTGAGATAGACGCTGAAGTCATCCTGCCAATCGTTTGGCAGACGACGGATGAATTCGGCTGCTACTTGAGCCTTGAATAGTTTAAAGCTACGGTCAATCTGAAAGGAGAAGTCGATGGGCTCAGTCTTGTTTCGGCACGAAGTGAGAGGATCGCCGTTCTTGATGGTAGGGCGGCAGGTAAGAATTACTGGTAGTGAAAGCGACATTGTAAAACTAAACGTGATCCTTTAAGCCAAAAGATGCCAGGGCGTGGGAGAATACTCACGGTAGAGCTCGACAACATTTAGGTGATGGAATTTTACCAAATGTCATAATATGTGGACACAATTTGTTTCGGTTTTGTTAGTCTATCCTAAAATTTGTATTAAGCCCATGATCGGTCAATTTGCAATAAAGTAGGGACTTTTGCCTATCGAGAACGTTTGAGCCCAGGGGAGTATCCCATCTGACGTCCGCCGAACGCCGATTTGACAGTGGTGCAATTATTCCTGGAAATCTTATCCCGACTGATTCATATGAGACTCATCCCCGAAGGGATGTGGCGTGCCGACCCAAACACTTGGTTATTACTCCGATCCGACGAAGGACTTGCACACGACACTTACTCAGGCATCGATCTCCCTACAGACATGGGAATTGAACCCACGCCACGTGCCAGCTGACGCGCATGCAAACCTGTTGCTCAGAAAGCATACAAATATTTTAATGATATTTTGAAAAAATCTTGTCAAATATGTCTTGGATTGGCATCGTCTTTTTTTCGGCAAAGGGTTCGGCTAAATTTTAGTCGGAAGCACTCGATCAGCTAGGTAAGGGTCATCCTCCTACGTAGGACCATAAAACTGAGGACGTTTTGGTAGAAAGGCACAATATCTGGCGCTCTGGGGCTATGCACGAACGAGACGTAGAGCGTCAAAAGCATGAGTTCCGGACTAGACATGGTGGTTCTTTGTGTGCATGACGCGTGCAATTCGAGCGCGTAAAGGGAGTACTCGTTGCAGCAAAGAGGAAGAAGCATGCTGATATCCTTACATTTCGAGAAAATCTTCGATTTTTTGTTCTACTTTCAATTGTCGCGCGTCAGTTTGCAGTGTTAGCAGATACAACCGTGGCATAGCTTATTTTTTATCACATCGTTTGTTGTTGTTGTTTTTCTCTTTCTTTTATATGGGAATTTGGGACCTGATTAAATCGCTGTATTTGTTTTTTAGGGCACCAACGTCTTGAAGGACAAAATGGCTGGGGGTAAAAGTACTTAAATTTTGTAAAAAATTCACGAACGCTATGAATCGATGATGGAAAAATGGTAAGTTGGATGGCTCCCATGGTTGGGAGGAGGAAGACTCTGAAACGCAATATTCAGCTCGTCACGACTCGATAATGCGAGATTACCTTGGCCCAAGTCCAATATATTACTTGGTAGAGCGCGTTATTTTCGCAAAAATAATCGGATTTGAGCATTTCGCTCAAAATTCCATGAATGTGCACCACATCTACCGCCCACTTTTTCATTCTGCCAGTCATTTTTGGCAATGAGCTCAGCCGACGTCAGCGAGTACGAGGCGAAGCGCTTGCGCCGCATCGAGGAAAACCGCAAGAGGCTCCAGGCGCTCCACCTCCCCACACTCGCGACGCCCTCGCCCCCGACGTCGAAGCACAAGAAGCGAAAGCGAGACGTCGAAGAGAAACCACTGGAACCAACGCGAAAGTCGTTGCGTCAACGGAAATTGCGGAGACTCGAGAGACAGCAACGGAAGCAAGAAGAAGATCAATTTAAGCAGGAAACACGAGAGCGCGCCAAGTCTGACAAGAACGAACGCAAACTATTTGAAAAATGCGAGAAGAAGAGGCTAAAAGAGCTCGCAAAGCGGAACAAACTCGATAAAAAGTTGCAAAAAGTGTCACGAAAAGAAAAATTAGTGCAGCTCGAGAATGGCGCATTGAAACGTCATCTAGAGCCATCGCAGCAACCAGAACAGCAACCGAGGATTCACGACTGGCGATTGAGGAGGAAACTGCAGGCCCAAGCGGAGAGGCGGCAAGTGGCGCTGAAGAGACGAGAGGAACGAAAGGTACAGACAGAGAAGAAGAACGAGGAGAAATTAGAGATGAAGCATAAAAAACGGGAGTTTAGAAAGGAGCAGCGAGCGAAAGAGCGGATGGAGAACAGTTTCTTAAAGGAAGTCGAGAAGCAGGTGAGATTCGAGGAGCTGGAGCTCATGCGGGGCGAGGATCGACTGTCTCGACGGTATGCCAAACAGCTCAAGAGAGAGACGAAGCACAGGGAACGCCAAGAGAAAGTAGCTGCGAAAAGTAAGCTGGAAGAGGACATGTGGTTGAAGCGAATGGAACTGGAACGTCAAGCCGCAGAGCTAAAAGCAGAAGAAAGACGCAGACGGAGTCGTGAAAAGGAGAGAAGAAAGAAGGAAGCGCTCAGTAGAGAGTTGTACCCTGTGCGGCAGGTGGATCTGCCTTACGTGCGCATCACAAAGACAACAGAAAAGGATACAAGCAAGCCCAGCTCACTGCTGAAAGTGGACGTCAACCTGTTCCACGGATTCTCTCTGGGCAAGCAATTCCTGCCTCCAGGCAAGCAATCCGTCATGCAGGCGCTGTGTCCTGCTGGATATAATCCAGAGTTTCAAAGGGAAGGCGATATCCACATCTGGCGAAACGCAACGACTCTTTTCATGAATGCCTCTAGCGCGGTATTTTATCGGTATATGTTTCAAGAAGTTATGAGACATGGCCGCAAGCACGTATTTTTCCGATGGGCTCGATGCCAAGGCGTCACGCCACCGATTCTGGAGCGACTGCGTCAAGTACAAAAAGGAGCAGAACATTTTCGCATTGACGACAATTACTACGATCTCCCGAATTTAATCGACCCGGAACCCAAACCGCTGCTGCTTTTCATCCAATTCCCCAAGGTAAAAATCTGGCTGTAATTTTCACTAGTTTTTTTTCTTACTTTGTTGCGTGCAGGGACCCTATATCTATTGCGGACGGCTCGGCTTCCTCGGCTACCGATCCGACCCGCTAGAGTTCTCCTTCCAGCTACTCGACGTCAGCGCGCTGAACTGGGGGCAACTTCGTACCCTCCTCATCAGCTAACTAGAAATATAAAGTTGTGGCTGAAAAATGGCAATAGACTTTTTGGAAGTAAAAAGTGCTTTCTTTCGAGAAAAATATGATTGTTTCTAAAAAATTGTAGCCATTCAGGATTGATAGGTCGACTCAGCATGAAGAGTGGCGATGATACTGAAGCGCTGAGCGAGTACGAGGCCAAGCGCCTTCAGCGCATGGAGGAGAATCAGCGAATGCTTGCTTCACTGGAGCTGCCCTCGATGTCTCGACGCTCGCTGCGGCCCCTTGTGGCCAAATCTGCTGCCAAGTTGGAGCCAACGAGGAGATCCTCGCGCCAGCAGAAAAGGCGCGTCGTCGCTGAGCAGCAAGCGCAGGAGCGGCAACTGGAAGAGCAACGGCAACTCGAGCGGCAATCAGCGCAGAGAAAAGAACGCGAGGCTCAAATTGTACTAAAACGACAACAAATTGAGCTCGAAAGGTACCAACAAAAACTCCAAAGGGAGCAGCAGAAAGAGGAGGAAAAGAGGAAAAAGCAAAAAATAAAAAGCCAAAAGGAGGAAGAGCGGCGACAGCTTAGAAATCGACAGCTGAAGGAGATCGAAGAAGAAAGATCCAGGGAATGGAGACAGCACATGAAAGAGCAGGAGTCGCAGAGGCGACTGGAAGTGGAAGCACTGAACGAACCTTCCCCCGAAGTTGTCGACCAGAGGAACGCCGAGGTACAGAGATTTATTCAAGAAGAGCTGGATAAGCAAGCTCGGTTTGCAAGAGAAAGGAAGCAGCGAGAATTGCAGTTGCAGGCTTTGGCTACTCAGAGGGAAGCCGAGAGGGTGAAGCAAGAAGAACAGTATCCAACGACAGAGGTTCAAGCGACGAACAAGCCAGTAATAACTGCAGATCAAGTTGTAGCAGCAGGAGAACTGGAACTTCCTGTCGAGTTTGAATTGGTGCTGTAGACAACAATCTGACGAGATTTTTCGATGGCAAAACATGACAATATTTTATATTTTTTCCGAAAATAAGCTTTTTCGATTCTGAAGGATGTCATCGAAGTTTGCCAGTGTGCTTAAGCTTTCTTTATCCTTTGCCAAGTCTTCACTCACCAACTCTCCTTCAAGCGCTCAAGCATCCAAATATCGTAGTGCAAATGAGTGTAACCATCCCGACCAAGTCTTTACTCTAGTGGAGCTGAGATTCCTGTCATCGGATTGGGTGTCTACAAGGCAGAGCCCGGCGCCGAAGTCTACAGCGCGGTGTTGTCAGCACTGAAACTTGGCTACCGTCACATCGACACTGCTCAGTTGTATCTGACGTGGGCCGTGCCGTCCTCGTGTACCCCGCAACGAGATCTTCGTCCCCAGCAAATTGTTCACTGGGATACGACAAAGCCACTACGAGCAACTAGGGTTGGGAATACCAATAGCTTCTTCAAAAATAAAGGACTTAATTCAATGCGCAAAATAACTTACTGGCAGAAAGCTGGCAATGTTAAAAAATAAATAGTTTAGTGCAATATATTGTACTGAAGGCGCAATACAGTGATTATTTCGGAATGCCTAGTTGGGATACATCGACTTTTATCTGTTGCACACTCCTGGGCCAGCTGCAACACGCGACGACACTTGGCGAGCTCTCGAAGAGTTGCAACAACGGCCAAGCGCATCTGGAGAAGATTCTGAAAACTGCCAACGTCGAGCCTAGTTGGAGCTGCATCCGTGGCTTATGCGTCCATCATTGGTGAAGTTTTGCCAGCAAAATGGTAACCTATTGCAGGCGTATTCACCGTTAGGTTGCTGGAAGACCCCACCCTTCTAGACATCGCTAGTGAGGTCGGAGCTACGCCTGCTCAGGTGCCGGTAGCGTCTACATGTAGTTTGGCGAACGACTTCATCACCTCTGCCAAAGTCCGCGAATCCAGAGCGTCAGAAGGCAATCTGGAGGCTGTGAATATCACGATGACTCCTGAGCAAGTTGCAAGGCTAGCAGCACTTGATGAAGGTCTTGTCGTAGCGTGGAGGTCCCAAGACCCGATTGCAGACTGCGAGGTGTAAGGTTACCGTTGTTCCTAACTGGTAGCAATCATTGAGAACATCAAAATGTGTAAAAACTACTTTTGAATTTTACTTTTGCTTCAATTTTACGATAGTGCGACGCTGGGATATGGTGAAATGTAGCCACAGTCTCCTCGACGACCAAGTCCACCAGCGCCGTCAGAGCTCAGGAAGTACGAGTAGCAATCACACACGCCTGTGCCTCGGTCTATCATCAAAGAACTAAGTACGTTATCTTAGTGATGAGCGTATCGATCAAACGTACCGCAGATACCACGAGCCGAGCACTCGATATTCGCCTTAGTGCCCTTCACCAGCTCCGTGACTGTCATTGTAGCTGGGTTCCCTGCAAGCGTGAGGGCTGTAATATCATAACTCAGCGGTGACAAATCCCCTTGCATGAACGTAAACTCGACAGTCGTAACTATTGCAAAATTTGCTGCGTTAGTTCGTAATCACAAAATTCAAGATAGGGAGGGATACTTACTGACGCCAGCGGCAGAGCACACGACCGCGCCCGAGTTAAATGTTACAGTAGCAGTACGCACGCTCTCGAGCGTCTGAAGAGTGGATTGGACTTGTGCAGCTCCAGCATTAAACGGGATCACTGGCGTCGTCTCTCCTCGAAATGTCAGGGTGAACTCCCCCGCGTCAGCTGTGCAAGTTACGGTCTGTTTCTCATTAACTTTCCCTACTTCAAACGGATCTGCCCCTCTTGGACACATCCGAGCAGAGCAGTCATGAGCTCCAGTGAGGTCTCCAAAGGCGTTCTCATAGGGACCAAAGTAATCGTTCGTCTCGCAGTCGCAGCCCTGAATCTTCGTGGCATCCCACGTTGCCAGAGTATTTGGCGTCGCTCCATAAGTGACTCCCAGTAAATTTCCCTCTGGATCTGTTGCCTCAGATGATAATTGCTGTATACTTTTACATGTGCCTCGACCACTGCAAATAGCGCCAACAACCAACGAAGTTCCAGTGGGACAACGGATCAAGTCGCACGCTGCACCGGTGAACGGTGCGAGACACGAACAGACTCCTGTTATCGTGTTGCACGAGCCTCTTCCGGAACATTTCGCCATTGCATGCGCAGTATCTGGAGCTGTGGCGCCGTCGAACCAAGCAGCCCCTTTCGGACATTCCCGTATCGAGCAATCATGCCCCGTATACCCGGTATAACAGATACACTCGTATGATGTCGCTGCGGAACAAGTTCCCTTACTATCACACGCACCGAGGTTAGTAGAGGGACAAATTGCCGCTCCTGATTGGTAGCCACAGTCTGCTCTTCGGCCTGCTGCAGGAGGCATTGCTCCATCGCCACTAGTAAACCCTGCAACACATTTGCACACTCCATTGGCCAAGTCGCAGCCGCCACGATTCGAGCAATAAACGTTCTCTCGTGTGCCAGTTTGACTGGTAATTACAGTTACTGTGGCACCATTCGAGAGGTTATTTACCACTTGCAACTTGGGCAAATCTCCTGGGTTATGGGTGAATATAATCGACGTGATAGTTCCGCCGGTCGAACACAATGGCGTGCCAGGAGTGATACTAACGCCGTAAATATTGTCAAGAGCTTCCAACGCGGTCTTTAAGTCGCTTGATGTGGCGGTCGATGCGAGATTTGCAGTCACTTGACCTCGAAACTTAAGAGCGAAGTTACCGGTGCAACTATTGCAAGTGCAAGTAATCTCTTGGATAGCGTAATCTTGTCCCGTCGTTAAGGGGTTGTCACCTTTGGGGCATTCGCGTTGGGAACAATCGAAGCCAGAGAAGCCAGGGTCACACTGACAGCCCATGATCTTGTCAGCGTCCCACAAAGAGTAAGTTGTGCTCACCAAGAAGTTCCGATCGTCTTGAAGAGTTGCTGCGTCCCGCATACTGATACAACGGCCATTTCCGGAGCACGCATTGGGACAAGACAACCGTTCGCATGCTACGCCTTCAAAGCCGGACTCACATGCGCAAATACCAGTCGGTCGATCACAACGACCCATAGCAGAGCATTCGACAGGTTGGTGGGCATTGTCGGTTGTCCACGCTCGATCGACCCAAGCAGCTCCCGTCGGACAGAGCTTCGAGACACACGTAGCCCCACCATACCCTGGGAAACACGAGCAGCGACCTGTCGAGCGCTGACATGCGCCATGTCCACTGCAGCCTCCATCACAGCTAAATCCGAGAGCTAAATCGCCTGAGAAGACAAGAACCAGCAGGAACAGAAGTCTACGCATTTCGAAGCGGTGAGTGGACGTTAGGAGGGGCTGCTAATGATACCAATAGATTTTTTTTTTAGATGTTCGGACGCAGGGTTATAATAGTAAACGATCAACTGCTGATCGACTACACCAACAAGTGGTTTTTTTTTCTTCTTCTCTACATGTATGTTATTAGGTAGAGTATTCGCTAAGTTGATTCACAACCTCAGCCTCGTGCCTTTAATTTAAAGGCTTTAAATGCTTCAAAAGGCCTTAAGTGGGACTAAGATGCCGCAATGTCGGTCCAAAGTTAGCCTGTTCATCTACAAGAATCTGCACGAAATGACTTACACAAATCATTTATCGTGGTGATTAAGGTAACCTCATATTATGTTGCGGTTTTGCTAGCTACGAGCGAAAACCTCGGAAGTACTCAGCCTAAGAACATGTGCTGGGATTGAAAGGAAACTTGCCGAGGAATTGGGGACGTTGCATAGGCGAATATTTGACAGAGCGTATCCTGGCTCAGCTCCTGCCATGGCGATCTACTGTGTTCAGTATTCTGCGTTACTGCCGTCGGCGCAGACACTGCACTAAGGAGTGCAACTTTGGCTTCCAACGGGAGACTTCGCGTGTGGCGAGTTGGCTGGAGATTGAATTGTCGGAAGCAGCCCAAGTATCGCTTCAAATCATGCGGAGCTGTGACGTCAAAGTACAATAACGTTCGGTTCTTTGCCAACATATCGAGGAGAACATTCAAGTCAGCCTCACACGTGCCGAGATTCACTGGCCTAACTAGCCAGCAATTAGCTGGACGAACACGCAGCCGACGAACACACTTGAACAGAGGGTTCCTGCTGTCACTTAGGCTCTTTGAGAGTGCAGCAATGTCACCGATATCTAACCTGAGATCAGGAAGAGGCTGGTGATGGTCCAGACGGAGTTGTACGTCCACCATATCAGTACTTAGAGACAGTTCTACCAGGTTTGGACAGCTTCGTAGAATGCTGTTAACGTCCAGCTCCAAGACCCGCACTTTAAGTGTTAGAACGCTCAGGGAAGCTCCGATGGCAGCCAAAAACTGCGCTACACCGTGCATGCTCCAGACCTCAGTAATCTCAAGTTTGAGCGATGAAAGACGTTGATCCGAGCTCACCAAATTACGCTCATAAAACGTTAAATTCTCGCGCTGAACTTGGCAATGGCCATACCCAGGAATCATGACGTTTACCCATTCGCTCTCGCCATCGTCACTAAACGTTTGAGCGAACGGTAGAGAAGATGGAAACGAGAGAAAATCGCAGCTTTGAGCTGGCTCTCCACGATAATTAAACTGCCATCGCACTGACGCTCCACTCTTCACTGTGGCAACTCGCTCTGCTATCACTCCACAAGGAAAGTCCAGCAGTTCTTCTTCAGGATGTTCGGACGTCACGACGTCACTGAATCCCTCCATGTCTGCAACAGCAATGCCATAGATTTTTATCTCAACAGACTCCAAGGACGAAGAAGAACGTGCTCGCTTGGAGAAAAGCGCGTACGCGATACACTTCCACAAGTAGCGAGAGGTGATTTGAGCGTTAGATTGGAAAGACAAGCGGATGTCAAGCTTCTTGACTGTCTGATTTGTCGCCATCGCAGACGCAAGTGCCACGAAGTCTGACGCTGGCAGTGTGGTTGCACAGAATACCTGGAGAGTATCTAGCTGCCACAGATCTGGTGTAGAAGTGTTCAGATCTAGTTTAGAACGAAGATCTGAGTACTCTAGCTCTCGAGTGGGTCGAGTATGATTAAACAGTCCAGTGAATAGCTGGCCGAACACCTTCTTCGATGCCAGCTCCTTGTCCCACAACTCTTTATGAAGCTCCAGCCGTAGACGTTTTACCTGCGAGAACCAAATATTATCCTGCATCAACCGGTTTATCGTCTCGATCATGTTCGGGTGGATCGCCATTCCAAGCAGATCCACAGCTAAAGGCTCAAGTACGAGAGTGCAGCGAAGAGATCCACGAGCTACTGGCTCGTCCTTAACCTGTCTCCACTCGTCTTTAATTATTCTCACAGCCTCTTTGTAAGCCAAAAGTTCAGTTGCAGACACCTCCATAGGCTTGATGCGATCTGTAGAGAAGAAAACTTGTACCGGGATCACAATGTCAATTCCTCTTCGATCGGGACGAATGTTTTGGTTCAATGCTGCGATTTTTGCTATTGTTTCATGAAATTCATCGCTGGAGTCACGTTGGTGGACGCCACAAAAGGTTAATAGAGCGTACTCAGTTGGGTTTCCCTGTTTGCCATTTAAGTCGAGACATAGCAGAAATTTCACTGGGATTTTATGCTCAAACTTTTCTTCGCCTTCTTTCCCCACGTCAATTCCGCAGTGTTCAGTCAGTAAGTACTTCCACGCTGTGTAGTCTGTATACCCCACAGCTGCCAGCAGCGCCAGTGCTTCGCGAAGTTGCCTCAATTTTTTTTGACAATTTTTCTCTTCGAGTGTCACATTTCCCTCGGTGTCATCTCGACGAATAGTCACCTGGAGAATGTTCCTCTTGGTGCTCCAAAGACCTTCTTGGGCTGCCACGCATCCATAGCGAAGCTTTTCCTTCAGAGCAGCGCACCAAGGCGCCAGGAAGCCCCACCGTTTCTCTAGATGCGCACCTGAAGTTTGACTTGCAATTTCCAAAAATGCAAAATTAAAAACTGTTTTTGAGAGAAACAGATTTCTTGTCTTAAAAGGCTTTTCTTAAAAAAAAACAATTAGCAAAAGCACATTTTTAAGGAAAAAAACACTTTCGTTTCTGGAGTAACGTTTAGTAGTGACTTTCGAAAGTTCTCTACGCTAGCATTCACAGTCAGCCGATATTTACAATCAAAGCATTAATTTACTTCCATTTTGCACAACATTGCGAGCGTACCATGCCTCCGCAATCTCCTGACTTCACGTTTCTATTGATTCTACAGTCTTCGTCGCTTTCCAATCGCGCTGAATAACTCAATCCGCTCGTCACCTACTGCCCTATACCTTACCTAGGCTGCAGCCTCCACCTTGGCCTTGGCTTCTCGTTTCAAGATCACCTGGTCCGCCTGAATAGCCGTGATCGCCACCGTCGTGACAATGTCCTTCACCGTCGCACCTCGACTCAAGTCGTTCACTGGTTTCCGCAGACCTTGCAGCATCGGACCCATCGCGATGCAGCCAGTACTCTGCTGTACAGCCTTGTACGTGTTGTTGCCCGTGTTCAAGTCCGGGAAGATCAGCACATTGGCCTGGCCGCCAACCTTGGCGCCACTGGGGATCGCCTTCAACTTGGTCTTGGCGATCGACTCGTCCACCGCAGCGTCGTACTGGATCGGGCCGTAGATGTCCAAGTCCGGACGCAACTCCTGCGCCATCTTGGTCGCCTCGCGCACCTTGTCGATGATCGGACCCGAGTTCGAGTCGCCTGTGGCGTACGACAGCAGCGCCACCTTCGGGATGAGTCCGAACGCTTCTGCGCTCTCTGCACTCGTCACCGCGATCTGCGCCAAGTCCTGCGCACTCGGGTCCGTGTTCACAGCGCAGTCTCCGTAGATGCGCACGCCGTCCTCGAGACACATGAAGAAGATACTGGACACAATCGGTCGGTTCGGCGTCGTCTTGATGAGCTGCAGAGCAGGACGAATCGTGTTGGCTGTGGTGTGGCACGCACCGGAGACCATCCCGTCGGCGTCGCCCATCTCCACCATCATCGTACCGAAGCATGTTTCCTCCAGCACCGCGTCACGTGCCGACTCCCGCGTCACGCCCTTGTGTTTACGCTTCTCAAAGTACTGGTCCACGTACTTGTCCAGCAGCTCGCTGTCCGCTGTGCGCACAATGTTTGCACGCGAGAGGTCGAGAGTCAGCGACTTGGCGTGTCGTTCAATGTCGTCCGGATTGCCCAGGATCGTCACCTTCGAGAGCTTCTGACGCAGCACTTGGTCGGCTGCTTGGAGCACGCGGATGTCCTCTCCTTCCGTCAGTACAATATGACGCTGGACAGCTCGCGATTTGCTGAACAAAAAGTGCTGAAACTGCTTCGGCGAGCGGTTGACCACCATTCCTTCGTCCAGTTCGCCAATGATGCCCTCTTTGCCCACAAACTCGTCGAAAAGTTGCTTGGAGCGGTCGATTTTCAGCTGACTGGTGGGTAGAATGTCCGTCGACACCTTGGAGAACTTGTCAGCCGTTGTGAACGTGTCCTCTGGCACCGAGAAGATCGGGATGGACAGGCCAGTCTTGTCCAGAGCCTCCACGCCCTGGAGAATCTCCTGCGTGTTGCTATGTGGGTAGCTGCCATTGGTCAGCACGATAGCCGACACGTTCGGCAAGATACCAGGCAGACGAGAGGCCATGAGACCCAGCATGACGTCCGAGCGATCCGCCGATGTGATGACGAGAGCACCGTCTTTGTAGTTCTTCAAGTGCGCGAATAAATCTTTCAAGGCGCTTGTTGCCACTACGGCGGAAGTTACGACGACGTTGTTGGGGATTGCCTTGGTGCCAAAGAGTTGCTTAGCTCCGAGTTGGTGTGTCACTTCGTTGAGACGTTTGGACGCGATAAAATCGTCTTTTGGCAAAAAGCCGAGGAATGGCAAATCTTTTTCACGCAATTTGGCACGAATTGCCTCGCGTAAAGCCTTGGGGTCTTTGGTGTTCACGCGGTTGGCAATGTTGCCAATGAAGTTAAGACCCGCACCCTCCACTTGGTCTTTGTTAAAAGCAGTACGCGAGAGGATCTCCTCCAAAAGGTCGCTGTTCGTGTTTGCCGATTCGCTGAAATCGGAAATTGTCAACACGGGTGAGCCAATGGCTTTGGCAATGTCCACGTTGATTTTCCAACTCATGGCACTTTCGTGTTTGGAAAGTTGCGACCCTTCGATTATCATGAAATCGTGGCCCTCGCGACACGCCTCGTAGCGGTCGAGAATCTCCTCCACGAGGTCGTCTCCCTTGCCGTTCAGCCAATACTCGATGGCACGCTCGCTCGTCACTCCGTACAGCTGCTCCACGCTCTTGGTGAGCCCCAGCTGCTGCTTCATGACGTCGACGTGGTGGTCAGTCTCGACAATCGGCTGGATGGGGCGGAAGTAGCCCACTCTGGCAAACTTTTGCTCCAGAGTGTTGGTCAGTCCGATTAGCACTGGTGCCGTTTTCTCTGTTACTTCAGTGGACGTCACGAACAGGTTGTTAATGGGCACTTTGCCCTCTGCGATGGCGGCAGCGGTCAGCGCGCGACGCTGGGAGGGAAGCGCCACCGACGTGCGGCGGAAGGTGTTGCGCAGCGTCCACATAGGAATCGAGGCTTAGTGGTCTTGGTTTTGGCAAATCCGCGACGAATGTGGCTGGATTGCCATCGACGCTGCATGGCCACGAAAAACGATTTCGGCGGGGTTTGCCCATCGCCCGTGCAAACGAAAAAGAGTCCCTCTTTTGTTTGCAAAAATGAATTCGCTTGACTTCAGTTTCCTATGAATTGTGCAAAAAAATGGTTGCCGGCGGTTCACCAAGCACCAAAAGAAGGCGAACACGAGTGCACACCTCGCCGACGTCACGCCTGCGACAAATGACACGCTCGCACCACAGGACAACAGCCAATGAATGACACGGACACAAGTTGCTTGGGTAAGTTATTCGTGTTAACGCTATGCGCAACACTTGACTTGACGACATGCAAGATTCACCAGCATACAGTGACGGGAATCTGGTCACGTATCCGATACATGTACAGTACGTCTTCAGCCATTCGTACGTATCGGTGGCAAACTATTTACCATTGTTGACAATTGCTGACAATTGCATAATTGCCCCTGCAAATTCACATTGTTGCACTCTCAAGAAATTCCCCATTTTGGTTCTTGGAGTTCTCTGCTTCTCGTTTCAAGATCACCTGGTCCGCCTGAATAGCCGTGATCGCCACCGTCGTGACAATGTCCTTCACCGTGGCGCCTCGACTCAAGTCGTTCACTGGTTTCCGCAGACCTTGCAGCATCGGACCCATCGCGATGCAGCCAGTACTCTGCTGCACAGCCTTGTACGTGTTGTTGCCCGTGTTCAAGTCCGGGAAGATCAGCACATTGGCCTGGCCGCCAACCTTGGCGCCACTGGGGATCGCCTTCAACTTGGTCTTGGCGATCGACTCGTCCACCGCAGCGTCGTACTGGATCGGGCCGTAGATGTCCAAGTCCGGACGCAACTCCTGCGCCATCTTGGTCGCCTCGCGCACCTTGTCGATGATCGGACCCGAGTTCGAGTCGCCTGTGGCGTACGACAGCAGCGCCACCTTCGGGATGAGTCCGAACGCTTCTGCGCTCTCTGCACTCGTCACCGCGATCTGCGCCAAGTCCTGCGCACTCGGGTCCGTGTTCACAGCGCAGTCTCCGTAGATGCGCACGCCGTCCTTGAGACACATGAAGAAGATACTGGACACAATCGGTCGGTTCGGCGTCGTCTTGATGAGCTGCAGAGCAGGACGAATCGTGTTGGCTGTGGTGTGGCACGCACCGGAGACCATCCCGTCGGCATCACCGAGTTCCACCATAAGTGTACCGAAGTACGTCTCGTCCTTGCAGTAGTCGCGAGCCAGCTCTCTCGTGACACCTTTGTGCTTCCGTTTGGCATAGAAATAGTCGACGTACTTGTCCAGCAAGTGACTGTCTACTGGACGGATGATATTGGCGCGTGACAAGTCGAGATTGGCCATCTTGGCGTTCACAGTGATCTCGTCCGGGTCTCCGAGAATCGTGATCCTCGACAAGTTCTGGCGTAGAATCTGATCGGCCGCTTGGAGCACGCGAATGTCCTCTCCTTCCGTCAGTACAATATGACGCTGGACAGCTCGCGACTTGCTGAACAAAAAGTGCTGGAACTGCTTCGGAGAGCGGCTGACCACCATTCCTTCGTCCAGTTCACCGATCAGCATTTCTTTCTCGACAAATTCGTCGAAAAGTTGCTTGGAGCGGTCGATTTTCAACTTGCTTGAAGGTAAAATGTAGGTTGACACTTTGGCAAATCCATCAGCAGTGGAGTTGGTGTCGTTTGGGGTTGAGAAGATCGGAAGAGAGAGACCAGTCTTGTCCAGTGCCTCCACGCCTTTGAGAATCTCTTGCGTGTTGCTGTGTGGGTAGTTACCGTTCGTCAGCACGATAGCCGAGATGTTCGGCAACACCCCTGGCAAGCGAGAAACCATCAAGCCCAACATGAGGTCGGAGCGATCTCCAGACGTGATGATCATAGCCCCATCTTTGTATTTCTTCAAGTGGGCGAACAGATCTTTCAGTGCACTGGCCGCCACGACGGCGGAAGTTACGACCGCGTCATTTGCAATTGAGTTGCCGAAAAGTTGCTTTGCACCCAACTGGTGTGTCACTTCATTCAGTCGCTTGGATGCAATAATTTCATCCATTGGCAAAAAGCCCAAAAATGGGATCTCTTTCTTACCCATTTTCAGTTTTAGGTCTTCGCGTAGAGTTGCCACGTCTTTGGCTCGAACGCGGTTGGCAATTGTGCCAAGGTAGTTGAGTCCCGCAGCTTCTGCTTGGTCTCTGCCCATGACAGTACGCGAGACCATTTCCTCTAGAAGCGCGTTGCTCGAGGCGGATGTGTCTCCGAAATCCGTGACCATGAGGACCGGGGAGCCAATGGCTTTGGCAATGTCCACGTTGATTTTCCAGCTCATGGCACTCTCGTGTTTGGAGACTTGCGAGCCTTCGATGATCATAAAGTCGTGGCCCTTGCGACATTCTTCGTATCGCTCCAGGATTTCCTCCACGATGTCGTCTCCCTTGCCAGTGAGCATGGCCTCCATGGCACGGGAACTGGTGACTCCGTAGAGCTCCTCGACGTCTTTGGAGAGCTCCAGTTGGTGCTTCATGACGTCGACGTGGTGGTCGGCCATGCTCGAGTCCGGACTGGGCTGAATGGGGCGGAAATAGCCCACTTTGGTAAACTTTTGCTCCAAAACATGGGCCAGACCGATGAGCACAGGCGCCGTCTTCTTTGTCACCTCCGTGGAGGTCACGTAGAGGTTGTTGATGGGCACTTTGCCCTGCGAGATGGCGGCGGCGGTCAGTGCGCGACGATGGGGCAGCGCCATGCCCACGGAGCGACGCAGGGAGTGGCGGAGCGTCCACATGATGGGGGAAATTAGGTGATCAAAAGTCTTCGGGTGCGCGTTGACTGGCAAATCCGCAACTGAGACCGGTCGGGTGGAGGGAGCTTCAACAATGGAGAGGAGTGATGGTCAATTTGCGTCGTTGACTTGACAATTGTAAGGGCGGCAAAGATGCGGCAATCAACGGCGTTTCAGGAGTTGACACTGGCACAGCTGATCCTACCATTAGTAATAAGTAGATTAGAGTGATATTAAGGAGGGAACTATGTAACACGCTGAAAAAACAGACCTTTAGTAGAACTCCTTCGATAGTAATATCGACGATTTTTGAATATCTAACGAGAGGTCGGCCAACAGCCGTGATGCCGGTCATTTGCCGACACGCAGGCTTGATCTCTGAAAGCACAGCAGCTTGCGCTCTACCAATGCATGCACTGAAGACACACAAACTAAAGATTTTTCTTCAGTTTCTGCTTCAGATTTGATCTTTCGAGTAGTTCGCGTTGATAAAATGAAGCTGTGACTGTTAGTTTTCTGTAACTTGTACTTCCCACGGGAGCAATGCGGCTTTTCATAGCTATCCTTAGGATAACAGTAAGCGGTGATCTGTCCGGCTTTCAGGAGGCCTCGAACAAGCCTTGATTTGCAAGTTCCAGTATCTTGCGTGTCAACTGGCAAGGAGAGGTCAAGCTTGCGTATCGAACGAGCTGCTCAGCAGCAACTCGAAACATTTGGAGTCGCTTGAGCTTGCAAGAGCTATTATAAGAGTTCACAAAAGCACCCTTTTTACTAATTGTGGTACTTTCGAGCACAACTTTTGTGCTAAAAAAAACAGATTACAAGTTTTTTATAAAATGATCACTAAAAAACTCCTTAAAAAATCATCAAGGCCAGAAGAGCGGTAAACCCTCTTTTTTTTAAAATATCCACAGTAAAGCGGCCGTTATCGTGAAGCCCTTGAACCCCCTCCCCCACACTAACCCCGCACCCAGTTTTAACACCGCCCACACTGTCTCAAAACCCACCTTATTTTATTTTCCAAAAGGCGGGGATCGTTCTCAGTCACTGAGACCGATCCATGCACAATTAGAATATAAATACGAGCTGCGATCTCTGACTGAGTCAGTCAGCTCAAGTGTATGAAATCATGTGTGCACTGTGAAAACGCAGGGTGAGTTGTCGCCGTTTTCCAGTTCGCACTAAAAACGGAGCGAGTCTGAAACACTTGTTCTCTTTAAATAGGTTGGTTGCATCGTCTCGACTGCCCCAATTAAAGAGTTGAACCAGCTTAGTGTTGAACCAGCAGGACAAGAAGAAACCAAACTTGCGATCGATACTACCCTACTGCTACAAGTTGGTCCAGGATGAGCTGTCTGCTCCCCGAGACCGAGACTAAGCCTCCTGTTAGGGAAGGGAGAGTGCTTGACTCGCTGCGATCTCTAAGTATTCGAAACATCCAAGACCCATACAGCCACGGGGAGCGTCTTGAGACCATGACTACCCGCAACAGTACTCTCGACACGGAGAACCTCAACACTATGCTGAACGGCGGACTCGAGAGGTTCTACAAGAAGTACCACCATTTGTCCCGCAAGATCAACCTACAGCTACCGACTCCCGAAATTCGATTCCAAGAGCTGTCCTTCTCGGTTCAAGCACCTTCAAGCACAGGCAGTCACAGTACAGTCGGAACCCATCTGGCACAGATCTTCACTCCTTGGAAACGGCCACCTACGATGACCAAGCATGTTCTTCACCCCATGACCGGCGTCATTAAACCAGGGTCCATGACGTTGCTTCTAGCTAACCCAGGGGCCGGCAAATCGACGTTTCTAAAGGCATTGGCCGGCAAGTTGCAGAATAACTCGAAAACGGAGATCGGAGGCGAAATCCGGTACGCAGGACTACGAGGTGCCGAAATCGACCTCGTCAAGCTGGTCGGTCTTGTTGATCAGACAGATAACCACATTCCTACACTGACAGTGCGTGAGACGTTCAAGTTCGCCGACATGTGCATGAACGGCCGCCCAAAAGACCAACACGAGGAATTGCGGGACATCGCTAAGCTGCGTACGGAGCTGTTTCTACAGATCCTGGGTCTTGAGAACTGCGCCGATACTGTGGTTGGGAATGCTCTACTACGAGGTGTAAGTGGCGGTGAACGTCGACGTGTGACGGTGGGTGAAATGCTGGTTGGGGGTCAAAGTCTCTTCCTGTGTGATGAAATCTCGACGGGTCTCGACAGCGCTGCAACGTTCGATATCGTCAAGGCATTGCGTACTTGGTGTAAGACGTTAGGTGGGTCGGTCATTGTAGCGCTCCTACAACCGACACCCGAAGTGGTGGAGCAGTTCGACGACATTTTGATGATAAGCGAGGGGCAAATGGTGTACCATGGACCACGGACTGAAATCCTCAGTTACTTTGACGAACGAGGCTTCAGCTGCCCTCCTCGTGTAGACCCGGCAGACTTCCTCATTGAGGTGACGTCTGGACGTGGCCAACAGTACGCGAACGGCAACGTGCCGAAGCAGTACTTGGCCGTCACAGCTGAGGATTTCCACAGCGTCTTTACGCAATCCAGTCTTTTCAAAAAGACCCAGGTAGCTCTAAACAAGAGCCCCAAGCCGTCATCGCCGGCAAATAGCAAGAAGCCTAAACGACTCGTGAGTCTCGCTCGGAAGAAAGGGAAGTCGGAGTTTGGGTTGGCTTTCATTCCGAGTACTCGACTGTTGCTGAACCGACAGAGATTGATCTGGCTGCGGGACCCTCCTCTACTGTACGGTAAACTGATCGAGGCCTTGGTCATTGGTCTGGTGATCGGGATGATCTACTTTGACGCGAAACGAGGGGTGTATCTGCGCATGTGTTTTTTCAATCTTGCACTTTTTCAACGTCAGGCGTGGCAACAAATCACCATTTCGTTCCAACTGCGAAAGGTGTTTTACAAGCAACGTCCTCGGAACTTTTTCCGCACGGCGTCATATGCCATTGCTGAGGCGTTGGTGCAAATCCCGGTGAATCTATCGGTGTCATTCATCCTCGGCACGTTCTTCTACTTTATGAGTGGATGACTCGGACGTTCGAGAAATACATCGTGTACTACCTGATTGTGGTCTGTTTCCAGCACGCTATCTGCGCCTACATGACGATGCTAAGTGCCTTCTCTCCCAGTGTTACGGTGGGGCAGGCGCTGGCTGGTCTTTCGGTTTGCTTCTTTTTGCTCTTCTCGGGAAATATCATCTTAGCCGATTTGATTCCCGAATATTGGATCTGGATGTACTGGTTTAATCCAATTGCCTGGGCTCTACGCAGCCTCATTTTGTCCGAGTTCTCGAGCGACCGCTACCCAGTTAGTCAACGTGACAAATATCTGGATAGTTTTTCAATCTCTCAAGACACTGAGTATATCTGGTTCGGTGTTGGCATTCTGTTGGCCTATTATCTACTGTTCACCACGTTGAATGGGCTAGCGCTGCACTTTATTCGACACGAGAAATTCTCCGGCGTGAGCGTCAAGACGTCAACGCAGAATGCACCTGTTGATCTGGACCAAGTGTTGGTTGAGATTGCCACACCTGCACCTGTTGTTGAGCCTTCGAAGGAGAAAAGTGGCGGCTTGCCATTCACTCCATCGAATCTGTGTGTGAAGGATCTCGAGTACTTTGTAACTTTACCCTCAGGCGAAGAGAAGCAGCTTCTACGCGGTGTCACGGCTCACTTCGAGCCTGGACGGATGGTAGCACTCATGGGCTCTTCGGGTGCTGGTAAGACGACGCTGATGGACGTGATCGCTGGACGTAAGACTGGAGGACGCATCGTGGGAGAAATTATGGTGAACGGAGAGCCCAAGAACCCAGCCACTTTCAGCCGCATCGCTGCGTACTGCGAGCAAATGGACATCCATTCCGAGGCTGCGTCGATCTATGAGGCGTTGGTCTTCTCAGCAGATCTGCGACTCCCACCAACGTTCTCTAAAGAGCAAAGGATGAATCTGGTCAATGAGACGTTGGAGCTGCTGGAGCTGCAGCCGATTGCGAGTGCAATGATCGGGAACTTGTCCGTTGAGCAGAAGAAACGCGTGACGATTGGTGTGGAAGTGGTGGCGAACCCAAGCATCTTGTTCTTGGACGAACCGACTAGTGGCTTGGACGCTCGTTCAGCAATAATTGTGATGCGTGGCGTGCAGTCTATCGCACGCACTGGTCGTACGATCTTGTGTACTATTCACCAGCCCAGTATCTCCATCTTTGAGCTATTTGATGGTCTCTTGCTACTGCAACGAGGAGGCTATACAGCGTACTTTGGAGACTTGGGCGAGGAATCCAGCAAGATGCTCGAGTATTTCGCTACCATTCCCGGGACGCTGGAGATCCGCCCACAGTACAACCCAGCGACGTACATGATGGAGGTGATTGGAGCAGGTATCGGTCGGGGTATGAAGGACTACTCGGTCGAGTATACGAACAGCGAGTTGGGTAGAACGAATCGTGAACGGACGCTGCAGTTATGTGAAGTATCGAGCGAGTTTACAAGACACTCGACACTGAACTACACTTCGATCGCGACTGGGTTCTGGAACCAGTTTAGTGCCTTGGCCAAGAAACAGCAACTCACGTACTGGCGCAACCCGCAGTACAACTTCATGCGGATGTTTCTATTCCCTCTCTATGCGGTTATCTTCGGAACGACGTTCTACCAACTACCTGTGGGTAGTGTGAAGAAGATCAACTCGCATGTTGGTCTCATCTACAACAGTATGGACTTTATCGGTGTGATGAACCTCATGACGGTACTGGAAGTGACGTGCGCTGAACGTGCTGTGTTCTACCGTGAACGCATGTCAAACTACTATGGCCCACTGCCCTACAGTTTGTCGCTGTGGTTCGCCGAAGTGCCCTACTTGGTCGTGGTGATTTGCTTATTCGTGGTCATCGAGTACTGGCTGGTGGGCTGGAACGACAATGCCGAGGATTTCTTCTTCTTCCTCTTCATATTTTACCTCTACACTTCAGCCTGCACGTACATTGGCCAGTGGATGTCTGCGCTGATGCCGAACGAGAAAGTGGCGAACGTCGCGGTTGGTGCACTGTCTTGCTTGTGCAACTTATTTGCGGGCTATTTGCTGCCCCGGACAGCCATGAAACCAGGCTACAAGTGGTTCCAGTACCTGGTGCCGTCCAGCTACTCGCTTGCAGCGCTGGTAGGAGTCCAGTTTGGCAACAACCAGGACATTGTCCTTGTGGATGCAGGCAATACAACTGTACAGATGACGGTGTCCGACTATATTGCACACACGTACGACTTCCACCCGGAGCTCAAGTACAACTTCATGGCGGGGCTATTGGTGATCTGGGCCGTTCTTCAAGTAGCTATTTACCTCACGTTCAAGTATGTGAGCCATCTCAAGAGATAAAGTAGTGCATTTTGAGACTGACACTTTGAAGTCAAATAGTTTTATACTTTCAGAGGTTCGCAAATGGTATCGAGATGCCCCATTATTCTTGATCTGCACTTTAGGCATCATCACCAACAGACACTCTGTTATTAGTGAAATTATAGCCTTGTTGCCAATGAAAAGGACTACAAGCAACTGAAAATAGAACGTTGCACTTTTTCACTTGTACTTTGTATTGACTCTATTGTCATTGATGGATAGTTGTGCGAACACCGTAATTAATTGACATAAAAACGGTAAATTTTGATTTTATAATGTTGTCCATATTATCTAGGTTCGAGGTTGTCAGCTTTAAATGGCTTAAAAATAACTCTTTTATTAGTACGTATACTTTGTGAGCAATATCTACACATACAGCTAGCGGTGCAAGAGGACAAACACCTAGCGGGCTGGTGACGTTATTAAAATTCTATTTCGTTTATGAACTTTTATGAAATGTCACAATGCGGAAGGGGCTTCGCACTTCGTCGCGCTATTCCCGGATTTACTCAAGATCCCGATGAAGAAGAGCTTCTTTCGGCAGAAGAAAAGGGGTATTTCTAAAAAAGACCAAGTAAAAATAAAAATCGTAAACGGGTAATCAAACTCTGTAGCAGAGACCATGCTTTCGTTATCGAGACCTTCTCCGCTTTTGCCTAGTTTTTTTTACCGAGCCAGCATGATGTACACGATTCCTACTTTGTCTCTAAACGCAAAAAAAAATACAAGAACGAGCTGCACATCCGTATTTAAAAAAGGAGGTTATTTAAGTATATTATCGTTATCGGAGCAGGTCGCGCATTTACAGATTCTGAGCCGTAATCAAAATTTGATTACGGCTCAGAATCTGTAAATGCGACCTGCTCGAAGCTCTGAAATTTGAAGCCGGGGAAAGAAAATATATTTAATATAATTTCTTCCCCCGGCTTTAAATTTCAGAGCTTCTTCGAGACTTTGTCATTTATGCTAAAATGCCGCTTTCTTCTACTGAATGCAAAGGCTCGTCGCACATCTCCTGTGCTTCGAAGCAACACCGTGCTCCTTTCGTACAAACTTGAGCCGCTACTTTTATTTTAACCAGCAAGCCTAGACAATTCAGACAAAATGTCAAAAAATTATCAGATTTGTCAGGTATCCATTCCACTGTACCTACATTGCTTTACGTGCTGTTTGTAAATTATCCGTCATATCGTTTGATCTTGGTAAAACCGACTTTTGCAGTGTTTTGAGAGATACAAATTTGCGCCAAGATTCACATCCCGCCCTATCGTTTCAGAGACTTAAAAAGCGGTGTTTTAGGAAAAAGATTAGAAAGACGGTATTTTAGCAAAAACGGTTAGAGTACGCATAATTTCAAAAGATAATGCTGCCACTCTATAATGTGCATCTCCTGCGACCGCTTCGTAGCCGCAGTATATACCCAAGTACCTGTGATAGTGCAACTGGTTACGAAAAAATCTACCATTATTGGTTTTGGATCTCGACGAAATTGTGCGTTTTTCTAGCAGGTAGTATTCACAGAAAACTATTTGTTGAATCCATTAGTCTCAGTTACTGCACCAGCTTTAGCTACTTGCTTCGGCTACCGGCTTCAGTTATGCGACCGAATTAATCGGATCGGAGATGTGCAGTCTTTCAGGCTGTCCCAATAAAATCATTAATATTGAGGGTGCAGTTCTACTTAGTTATGTTTTCTTAATGTAAATATAAATATGATTGGGGTAGTTCCTTTAATAATTCATAATACTTCATTAAACATGTATACTTACATTATGAAATCATTGAAGGTAAGTTTTAGTTGCCAAAGCTCAGGAAGTATTCCCCTCTCTCTTCTGTCGACCCCGCCTGTCCAACATGGACACAATAGCGCTTGCATGATATTAATAACTTGTATTTGAATCGTGCTATCGTATGGTTTTCTAAAAGGGTGACAATTGAGGTGGCGCAAAAAATTAAGGCACTTCGCTGTTGCAGTGCATTAAAAAATATCGCTCCTTACAGCTGGCTTTGATTCTAAGATACGTACTTCATAATATTTAAGTACTACTGTATGCAACTAGAGGTGTGTCTTTGAAATAAGAAAGGGACATTTAAAAACGATCTGCCCTTACAGATGTTAAATGCAAACATTGTTACTTTTCGAAATGGCCGGGACTTTTGACACCCGATCTAGTTGTCAGCGCTAGCAGAATTTCTTCTGCACGAAGAGCATTGTGTTGAGCAAAATGCCTTCGTAAAAATCACAATCCGAGCTCTTGAGATCACATAACCCCTTGGTTCCCGGAATTTATGACAGCTAACGCATAAGTCACGGTACTGTTATGTCGTAACTTACTACGTGCGTAGTTACTTTGGTTATGTATGATGTGCATAGACGTCTGCGGGAAGCGATATTAAATCTGAACAGGTTTACTGAGGAATGTCGTAAGTTATACTCCTTTCTTGTGTTCATCACTAGCTCAATGTCGTAACTGACACCGATGGCTGAAAGAAAGGGCGCGAGAGCCGGCACCTAGAAGGAAAAAGACGCAGCAACCCGTGCATCAAATCTGCGAAAACTGCATTACAACTCAAAAGTTACCACAAATCAAATCTGACACCTGGCATTTCATCACTTCTCTTGTGCACAAACAGGTCTCACTGGTTTTTGTCATTATCATTTCCAGACCCCTCGTCGTCTGCTTCCCCGTTGTGAAGCTGTAATTCTCGGCGAGTCTTCTTCCGCAGTCCAGCTTTCTTCCCGGGACGCCGCAGCACAACTTGTTTCTCTAAGGTGACAGGGATCGCCTGACCGCAGTCAAAATCGGCATGCCAGATTGCAAAGCAGGTCTTTGCATCACCCCTGTCGGTATGCCGGATCTTGTTACAAAGCCAGCATTTGGCGTTGTCCAGCGAGCAGCGCTCACAGAAGAAAGTCGTAGCGTAAGAATTCTTTTTTTTGTCAGTCCTGAGTAATGCGCAGACTTTACAGGATCGCTGGCGTCGCTTTTGCACACCGCTGACAGTCACCCAATCTTCCGACTGTTCCACTTCATGGGTAAGCCGCACTGGAGCACGTTGGCGCTTTTGGCGTAGCGGTGATGAAGTCGCCACGACACCATCAAAGTCTTCAGCCTTGAGCTGGAGAAGCTGATTCTGAAGGATGCAATACCAGTCTCCACGCCTCGTCGCCGCCGCTCCAGCAATTCGTGCGGTTTCCTTATGTGAAATGTATGCGTTCACTAACGCTAGGTCGACGAGCCCCAAGAACAAACTCATGTAGTATTCTTGAACTTGGTCGACGTCTGTAACGAGAACTTCTGGAGGCGGAGTTGATCATGAATATCAACTCCTCCTATCCAGCGCTGATAATCCGTCACAGCTGCAGGACATGGCACAGTAACTGGTCCCACGCGCTTCACATTCCTATTGATTGACGAAGCCGACATCACAGAGCCCGTGCACAAGTAATGCACGGGTTTGCTGTCCCAGCATTGGTATGCCACCATACTTGGGACAGCAATAGAGCGGGAGAATGTGAACGCCCCTCGAGGAATGCTTGCCGGTCGTGTCTTCCTAGTCGCTTTGACATTATTGTCAAAGCCAAGTCTGTCCGTCATTATAGTGCCCAACACGTAAGCACTCATACCAAGGAGCTCGATCGCAAGAAGGACTGACGAGTAGAATCGATCAATCACGACCAAGTGCCACAGATGGCGACGATTTTCGTGAAGCACGCTCTTCAGGTTACGAACAACCGCCGCAGCACCTGTCTTATGGTCGAATGAAGAGTCGCCAGTGTCTCCAGCATTTTGTTTTCCAGCGTACATTTCGAATCTAGTACGTTACAGCATAGATGTTAGACAGAAACTCAAAAGGCGTAAGTTACGACATAAGTTATAAATACAGTACCTGTGGCAATATGCTGTTATTGCATCACACAACATAAATATTTTCGTGCCATACCGGTGAGGTTTGTCCGGCATAAACATCCGGGTTGAATTGCGCTTAGAAGTGGAAGGAAGAACGCCTTCATCGAATGAGAACACTGCTGGAAGAGACCATCCAGCCAGAAACCGGTCCTGGAGCTTGGTGACAACGGGCCGAAGTTTCCACAGCTTGTCTCGTGCACGCTCACCCTCGTTGTCCACCAAGTGAAGGTCTCGTAAGATGTCTTGGAAGCGGTTGCGAGCCCTGAGCCGGCCAAATGTTCCAGCCGGAACTGCCCCGTCCTCCGTCATCGACCAGTGTGCCGCAAGGCGGCGGTTCTGTGGGCATAACATCCGTGCAATGAAAAGTCCTAGGACCTGGAGGATCTCGTGCGTCTGGTACGCTGGTTTTGCTTTTATACGCCGGCGGATTTGTGAGGGTTTCTCGTTTAGGCTCCAGCTGCTTGACGTGTATTGCTTGTGCCCGCTTTTCGATCTGTTGCATACTGTATCGGTTTGTTTCAACGTTTATCATGACCCACAGTGATTTTGGCATGTAGTAGAACAGAGTCAGAAGCAATGAATGACAGACGCTGCGTAGCTCCGGTACAGGCCTGCCCACTTCTGCGTTGAGTCCCGGGTACGCGGGCGACGCTTCTCAAACTCCGACGATACGGGAGACCATTCCGTTGCTCGTAATGCGTTAGCTCTTGCCTCCGCGGCTTTTTGTTGACACCATCTTGCCCTATAAGAAGTGATTCGACGAATGCCTCGTCCATCTGTGGATCGTCAGCGTCCGATACGACATCATCATCGCTTGGTGTATCCACTAAGGGGAATCTTCGTCGCCGTCGTCCACGCCGTCGCTGTCGCTCTGGCCAGAGCTGAGACTTTCATAGGCGCTCATATTTTCATCCTCTGGGACAAAGTTAACATCAGGCTTGACGTTGGAGAGTGGACGAAGCCTCGAGCCTGAGGTTGCAGCGCCAAAGTCATCTCTTTCAGCCTCACTATCAATGCCAGAAGCTTCCGACATTAAGTGAAGGCTTGTTGCTGCATTTAGATGTGATT